CCACCTCGTCCGAGAAGTCAAAGGCACTGGAGTCGTTCAGGAGCAGAGGGTCCTCGCTCCTCCCTAGCAGGGACTTGATGCTCGTCCAGAGCCCGGCCCCAGCCATAGCGGCGGCGCTCGGGGGCCTCGCCGGGCGCGGCCGACCCGCCGCGGGCGGCTCCGCTGGCGCAGCTGTGCCCTCGCAGGCGGCGCCCCGACCGCTCGTCGTCCCGTCAGGGCATGTCCCCTACATCGCCCCCCGGGCCCCGCGCAGGTCGGACGGAAAGGGGCGCGGGGCTCCGCCGCGGAGCGCCCCGGCACCACCGGCCCACAGCGCCGCCTCCGCGCCGGGCACGGCGCCGCGAGGCGCTGTCACCGCCGGAGCCGCGGTCACCCCGCGCAGCGCTCAGCCCCGCTCACGCCGCGGCCGGGCAGGCGGCACCCGGCGCGGGGCCGCCTCCCTGCCGGCGCAGGGGGAGCGCCGCCGCCGCCATGCGCGGCACAGCCCTCCGCTCCGCGCACCGCTCCGCGGGCAGCGCGCCGCCCTCGCAATCCCTGCGCGCTCCGGGGGCTGCTCCGCGTACGGCGGCGGAAGCACTTGGTGGGAGTCGCGTCCCCTGCGCGCCCGCGGACCCCGCCAGCACTGCGCCTGCGCCGCCCGCGCGGGACGGCCGCGGGTTCGAGTCCCGCTGCCGCCGCCCCGCCGCGCCCGCGCTGCCCGCGGAGCGAGGGGCGGAGGGGCCCGCCCGGTGCGGCGGCGGCACCCGCGCCTCCCTCGGGGCGGCCTGCGGGGCTGCTCCCGTCCCTCCCTGCCTTTCTGTTCAGTGGGTAAATGCCATGCGAAGTAGAGGCTAAGAGCTGCTAAAGCCATATAATGCAGGTACGGTGGTCGTGATACACAGGAAGCTGTGTTCAGTACGCTGGAAGCCTGAACTGCATAGTTCCGTGCTCTGGCTTCAGATTTTGAACGGCAGAACTTTGCATTGTATTTTCTCTTTTCCCTTTCTCTTCTGTCACGGCACAGCTCTTTACATTGTTTCAGTAACTCTGTTAAGGTAGGGTTGTAGGAAGTCTCATACACCTTTCTGGACATTCTTTAAAGGATGTAAGAAGAAACAAACCTCAGGGACCCTGCTGTTGTATAATTCCTGTCATAGCTGTGCTCTAACATAAGAGTAAATAGATTTTTGCCTATACTAATTTTTCGGAGAAGTTATTCCTGCTCCTCATGGTCTGATTTTCAGCCTACATGTGTTCTGCATCAGTTTGTACCTATGGCCAAATTCTGTTACTGTATTCAGTCAGTTTGCTAAGCCATAAACATTTCTGAGAAATCATGCTTGTCAGAGAGAAGGTTCATATCTTACTTTGTTACTAGGTTGAAGGAAGTTACCAAGGGAAGACTGGGGAGTTGTATAGACGTGCAGGATTTTGAAGAAAGGCACTCCTTGTCCAAGGCTGATAGCAGATTCTGGTAGGCATCAGGGCAGTGCTGCAGGACATGGAGCGAGCCCCTTCTTGGAACTGGCCCTGTGGGAAAGGAGTCCTCTGTGGTAGACTGGCAGAGGTTGCTTATTGTTGTTCTCTTAATGATGTCCAAAAATAGTATGACCCTTTATCTGAGCTCCCTTGCCACTTTAAAATGTGGCTGTTTTCCTGAGCATGTAATATCAGGTTATTTTTCTTCAACTGGCTAAAGTGGTGCCATCTCCTGCCATTTTACCCACCTTATGATTCCCCCAGCATTGTTACCAGTACAGTTGTTCAGGGGCCAGACAATGAACTCAGTCCCTGAAATGGGTAAAAATTAAACAATGCATATTGGGAGGGGTTTGGATATATTTGTCTGTGTAACTGAGACTGTTTGCATGATATCACCTCGCAGAGACATCCATATGACAACAAGGGGGCAGCGAATAGTGTGGGAGTCAGAATGAGCAGCCAAGGATGGGAACCAGTTAAGCCAGCCTTGCTGCCTAGCAAAGTGTTCCCAGCTGTGTTCCAGTTCACCCTTTCTTGATGTTTCTGTTCTGTCTGGGTGATTTAACTCACTCTGTGCTTCAAGAGTTTCACCCCTTGTACCAGCACAAAGTGAGTGAAGGACACACAGACATGAGCAGCCAGGTTTCAGAAGACTGCATTTTAAACTGTCTCAGAATGCTAGACTTTACACTGGAGCTTTGCCACTCCTACAGGAACAGAAACTTCCAGCACCAAGGAATGAGATTTAGCTGGGGGGACTAATACACTTTGGGACAGTGCACCAAGGTTTGCCAGCTCACCATTTACTGAATAACTAAGACCAGACGTGTTGTCAAGTCAAGAACCAGCTCATACATTGGAAAGATGAGCTGATGTTGAGCAGAACTCTTTGTACCAGCTACACTCAATTTCTTCATTGTAGTAGCCAAGGCTGTGCTCTTTCTATAGTCTAGTTTACTTAATGAGGACTTGATGAGAGTCTCAAAGAGGTTACCTATTAATGTGAAGTATTTCCTTTTCATGTTGTCATCCCTGAAGTCATGTGGCACATCCAAAGGTGATGGTTCAAAACATCCTATTTGCTATACAATTCAAGATCGCTTAACTCCATTTTCACTCACATTTCTAGGGAGGGGCATGGTTACAATATATGTAACTGCTTAAATCAGTTGCAAACAATAAAATCCAAAATATCTAAGTGATAGTGTCCATTTAAGGTCTCTGAACACAGTTGCTACAACATAAAACTAAAATGAAACACAATTATGTGATGTCAACAGTGTTACAAACATAGGCACTTGGGAAATAGTTACTGTGAAACAGAGGATGTTTTGCAGAAGAAAAGGAATAAGAAGAGTTTTCTATCATTCTCTTTTTTGGAACATTTGGGTTGACAAACAGTTAAATTTTAATTTGTCAGAAAACCAGATACCATTTTCTATTCCAATCCTTAGTCTATTTCTGCAAGACGTGGGAAGGCCTGGAACAGGCAAAGCAGGAGCACAAATCTGAAACTCCCACATCTCAAGTGAGACTATTTCAGAATCATTATCTCACTTGTTCTTACTAGAAATTCCATCTGGAAACTGTGAAGTCTTTCCCAGTGAAACTTTTAACAAAAGCTTTGGGCTTTCCCCCCTACCAAAAGAAACAAAATTTTAAGTAAAATTGCTAACCAGTTAGAATTAAGAATTTGAGTTGAGTCTGCATTAATTAACATCTTCCTCTTGTTGCTCCTTTAAAAAAGCAGAAAAATGGGTAAGTCTTTAATCTGGTGATGGAACAGTGACAATTGTGAACAAAAATTAATTAGAATATGCATATGAAGAAAAAAGTAAATGAATTTGCAACAATTTTGATGTTAGAAATGTTCGTTTTAAAGTTGACAGATCACCTCAAAAGACCTTTTTTTTTTTTTTGCCTCAATCTCTTTCTGATGAGCATTAGGGGGACTGCCTGAATTGAATTTAATCTTTAAGGCTGGGGGATATATTAAAATATTGCATTAAAATAAAACCTTTCTGAGTGGTCCTTCATTATTTTCTTTCTATGGTTGCACCTGCATTTCCTGAATAGACCTTTATTGGTAAAAGAGGAAAAAAAAATAAATACTACCATACAAAACTGATTTTCATTAAAGAATATTTATACTTTCAAGTTGGTTAGGGCAGGGTGCTGATAACACCAAGGTGGCAGTTTGATCCCCGTATGGGCCACTCAATTAAGAGCTGAATTTAATGATCCCTCTGGGCCCCTTCCAACTCAGAATATTCTAAGATTCTGTGTGAAGTTATTACCGCTCTTGCAGACTGTTGGGGGAGATGCATAGACAAACGAATACACAAAAGCTAGTTATTAATTTCCCAAGAAACAAAAGCTACAAATAAAGTCTGCAGAGTTTCTGGAGAATACAAATCTGTAAATACAAGAGCCAGGATGTCCCTAAGAAAGGGCACCTGCGGTGATTTAGCTGTTTTCTGAGGGGCAGCAGAGCTCCCTGGGCAGCGCGGTGCTGCTCCCGCCGGGCAGCCGCTGTCCCCGGCGGCTGGGCCGGGGCCATCGCCCCTCTGCCCACAGCGGGGTGGAACCCGCCGGGTGGAACCCAGGCTCAGCCCCGGCCCCAGCGGCTGCTCCCGGGGCCAGGCGGCTTCAGAGCGCTCCGGGCGAGGCAGGCACCGCGGGGAGCGGCGGGAGGGAGCGCCCGGCACCGCCGCTGACACCGGCCCAGCGGCCGGCCGCCGCCCCGCTGTCAGGCTCGGCCCCGGTACCAGGCTCGGCCCCGCTGTCAGGCTCGGCCCCGGTACCAGGCTCGGCCCCG